TATATATATGTAGCTTTATTATTCATAGATAAAAATTTAACTTGTACATGTGTATTAATTTTTATCAATATGCGGTATTTAATATGCAATGTTAATATATATGAGAAGAGTGTTTATCACAAAAAAATATATATTATTTTTGTTAGCATCAATTTTAAGACTATGTATATATATATAATAATCCTTTGTTTCATAACTTATTATTTGATAATTTATTATCATCTCAAATGTACCAACAGTAAAATATTTTTTTCATCAATAAGTGCAATGAAAGAGAAATAAAAGAAATATTTTCTGTAACAATATATATTGTATATAGCCTGTGCTATATATTTAGATACATGAAAACCTTAAAAATCTATATTTTCCTGTTCATTTCTCTTATTTATGTCCAAACTCATTATCTTCTTAGCTTTATTAGATTTGCCAATACCAAGTTTTGGCAGCCCTCTATTCAAACCTTCCAATAAAACGCAAGCTTTACATATTTCTTGACTTGAAACAAATCCACATCGAGTACAATTCCTTCTTTCTGGCATCTTTACATTATTGTTCACTTGCAACTGCTCGCCTAATATGTAACAAATAGAAAATAATAATAACATTATCTTCAATTTACATAATAGAAATGTTTTAATATTACAATAAAATATAATAAGAAATTCTTACCTGAATGTATTATGTCTATAATGGATGAAGGTCTCATTTTCTCCAAATCCTTTAGAAAAGCCCGTGCATGACCTCTATAAGCATTTGGAGCATATATACATTCTGTAGAGAAATATACTAGATGCTTAAAATATGCATACATGACAATTTCTTTTTCATATGCATATTTCAGTGGCTTACAACGCATGATGGAATCTGCACCTGTCTGTATTAACATATTTACATATCAGTCTCTGATTTATTGAGATTTCGCTATTGCATATATGCACAATAGTATATTCTTACAGTGATTACAGATGTACATCTCTGCAGTCGAGCAATATCGCCTCTTAAGACATTCATTAACACCGTTTCAGCGATATCATCTGCATTATGACCAGTCACAATACAATCTACCCCCAAAATTGCAGCACCTCTGTCCAGTGCTTGTCTCCGAAAAACACCACAAAATGTGCAATTGTTTTTCCGGCCAATCTAAAATACAATTATGTATTCTATCACAATGTATTTAACTAGAATTTTTGAATGTATAGAAGTTATTAAATGTATTGTACCTCTGCAACTATAGAATCCATTGTCCATCCATATAATTCTTTGTATGATAAGATTTTAAGTGGAATGCCATAATCATCTCTGTTCTGTGCGACAGTTTTCAAACTATCGTCCCTATATCCTACATAATAATACATTTTATATAAAATATGTATTATGAAAAAATTTATATATATATATATATATATATTTTTTTTTATGCTATATACCAGTAATTCCTTCATCAATGGATAAAAGAAATAGATCTAATCCATATTTGTATCTTTCATTTAGTGTTTTTAAAACATATGCAAGTACAGTGGAATCTTTTCCACCTGATGCTCCAATGGCGACTTTGTTACCAGGCTTGAATAGTTTACCGTTGACAATTGTATCATGAATCTCAGTCTCAAATGCTAAGAAGAAACAATCTTTGCACAATGTATCGCCAGTTTTTGGCCTCTAAAAGAGACAAATTTTTTTTAATTACATTTAATAGTAACAATTTATTATATAAATTTTTTCAAGTAGCAAAATTTTGTGAAAATTTTTACCTTTAAAATAGCATCTCTCCCACATTTTGTGGAACAAGAGATAGGCATCTTGGTTGCCTTATTTCTCTTGATACAGCTATCGATGATAAATTATAAATTCTTGTTATATATCAATTTATATATGAATAACAAAGCAAGATTATATATAAAAATGTCTTAATGTATTTCCTCGTTAATGTATGATTGAGGTTATATATCCACGTTGCATACAACAGTCGACGAAAGAGAAAATCGTGCCTACCGCACAACACACATAATATTCGTATCTAATGAAATTTTCACTCAAGTTTAATCTTCCTCGAAACAACAATTGTGCGATTAATAATGCAGTTTTTTTTTTTTAATCACTCGAGGAAAAAAACACGAGAAAGGGACACACGATTTAGTCCTCTGGCTTCTCGGGTGGCGGTCCGCAAGGTTGCAGCATCTTCTCCATAAGATTGAATCTAACTCGCGCCTTGGCTTCGTTCTCGGCGATCGCGAAGAAGTTGAGTAGATCGTAATGACCCATGTACGAACTGCAAGAATCCCGGTGCTGATTCACCAGCCATTCGAACTTGGTCGTATCCGCGTGTCCTGTGCCGATATACTTTGACTGCAGATGCTCCAATTGACTGTGAATATTATAGCGTTCGCCCATCTTCTCGAGCTTTCTCGCGACCTGGTTTCTCCTTGGTAGACAGTCGAATTAACGATCGCGTTTGTATTTTTCTTACACAATTGTTTGCTTGTAAAGAATTTATGTTATAGGTTACGTTTGTCCGCGAAAAGAATAAACTCGCGGAGAAATATTTCGCGCATGCGCAGTAGCGTAAGGATCATATCGATAAGTAGCGTACATATATCCATATATATCTGACCTATCGTTTGAAAAAAAAATAGCAAATATGGGAACAAATGTTATAAAAGTCTCCATTGATTGAATAGTATAATTTATCAATAATTGTAAAGCGTTTCGTTTGACGCTATTAAAATTTTGAATCATTTGTTTGACCAATTAAGACAAAAGGAGCAATTTTCTTTGTTTTGATTGGTTAATCAAACGCTTCGAAACTTTCGTAACATTGAATGAAGAATGTGAATGACATTTACAATGACGAGAATAACATTTCGTCTTTTTTTTTCACTCAATTGCCATCCTCTTCAGAAAGAGAATGGATACGTGTGAATGACGATTAGCTTGCCTCGATAAAGATTTAACGTGTCATTGGTCATTCTCATTGGTCACAGATTCTCTGCGTAAAATTTCAAAGATCCCAAAAGTTCCAGGTTCCAATGACTTTATTGGCTCGTCGGATTTGGAGCGATCCAATCCGAGCGTTCTACAAGACGCAGGGTCGCGAGTATCGGGGAATTCCTTTAGATCTCTAGTGACTTGTCGCATTCCACCGCATCGCGGCGGCACTATGCGCAGTCGTTACGTCACGTCGATATGACGTGCCAAATGGTAAATGGCTTCCACTCGGTCGAGCTAGGATTTTATGATCGAGCCGAAATCCAATCCAAAGAAAATACATGCGATATGATGCGATCGGCCGCCGGAATCATAAAAATATGATCGCCTGAGCGCCGTACGATCGCGATAGAGATTAATTTTTGGCCAAAACGCACCGGTCGTCCGCGAAATATGTGCTGAAATTGCTACGTGCGAGGAACGGCAACTACGACGAGAACGGGACGACCGTTACGCGCTCACGTCGATTCTACTGGTGCTGATTTCGGGCCTGATGCGAAGGACACCGAGGCTCGCCACGACGTTGCAGGATATACATCGCACGTGAGTATGAATTACCATCGCACGATTTCTCGGACGAGTCGTCGTCGTGGTCGAATTTTCTTATCCCCCCTGGAAGAAGAAACTGGGCGAGTCCGTGCTAGAGAAATGGCGGCCGCGCTGGCTCGTTCGAGAAATTCGTGACCACGCGTTTGTCACTTCCTGTTATCGATCGCCAATTTTCCCTGCCGCGCTTTCCGCCGAATAATATTCTCGCCCATCCTCGATCCGGGTAGCATAAACGCGACCGCTCGCTCGTTCGCTCGCTCTCTTGCACGCAAGATAATCGCGTCATTCCGCGATATCGCCCATATACGTACATCGATGTGTGCGTGAGCGAGCGCGGACGCGTGTGCGTACGTGTATGATTGTTGAGCGCGAGTGTATATCGTGAGTGTATATATCCATGACGATCGACCTCGAGACTGTGTCGGGGCACATCGGAGCGATATCGTCATTTTCGATTGTTATTGCATTTGTACTGATGTCAGGGTAAGCCGGAAGGAATCTCGTGGCCCGTTCCTGCCGAGATATCTTCCCCTGCCCACAGAGCCTCAATGATGACTGTTGACAATTGCAGCGATGTAAAGCCACCTCCAGTGCTCTGGAATAGAATGTTATTGTATATGTAGAGTTTATATGTTTGACCAATAAAAAAACTGCGTATATACTCGCAGAAATATTTGATTAAATTCATATATATATATATATATTTATATACATATACACACACATACACATCTTATAAATTTATAGCAATATATCTGTGTGACAAATGATAACATATATGCGAGGTTGTTATCTAATTTTTATTTGCCTGCAACAATTTGACTCTATTATCATGTTAATGCATTAAAAGAAATACGAATGATATTTGTGAGATTACTACATATATTATATATATTAATATCTGTCTTATTTTTAGTAGGTGACATGCCCAGCACTCGTGATATCGAACGGGCCGAACGTAATGGGAGATTTCGCTCGCGAAGAAGAGGCAGCACGAGCAGCGACGTGAATCGACACAGCTTTGATGGTGCTGATAAGCGACACAGACGGCATGGAAAGAGCAAGAATTCTGGAAAAAAGAAGAAGAAACGTTCACGCGACAAGTCATTGGAAAACGTGCCGACTGTAGCTTCGTCGGTCGTTAAACCGTTGGTCGAGTATTCCGACGTGAGTAGCGAGGATCTCTCGGAGCCAGAAGCGGGAGAGATACAATCGGAAGACAGTCGCGCCAATAGCTATACGGATGGGGAAGTACCTGAATCGCTCCTTCAAAGGCGGTATTATGGCGGTAGTCCGGTACCCCGTACTCTCGGAGCATCGCCCATCAGTCTGTCGCCCTCACCACCGGTTCAACATCGACACGCCATCAGCAGGCGTTACTCCTCGCCGAACGAGCAACAGCAGCCGACGACGATGCACGGTGCAACGACGCCGGAATACGAGGAGGAATCGAGACGATACGCTCGACGAAAGGAAAAGAAACACAAACGTGAAAAGAAGAAGAAGAGAAGTCTGAGCCCGTTGTCGAATTCGGGAAAGAAGAAAAAGAGAAAATCCAAGAGACATTCCGACAGCGTAAGCCCGCATCACGTTGTTGTCGAGGACATTATTCTGAGCCCGGATCATGAGAAGCAACCATCAGTCACTGCCGGCACCACAAATTGGTCGGAATCTCCGCCGTTGCCATTGAAGGATAGCACATCGCCGATCTCGCCGGCAACTCCGCAGGAGCATAGGTGTCCCAGTGACGACGTGGAGCTGGAGATGTCAAGGCAGACATCTCGAAACGTAACACCACCGTCACTTCTACCGACACGGCAGACGGAATCGCCGCACACGCCGCTACTGCCTCCGCGTGCCACGACGCCGGAGAACTTGAATAAGGTCATGTCCGCTGTGCCGAAACACGGCAGTCCCGATCGACAAAAACGCAGTCCCAGTATTCACGCGATGCGGCGTACCAGTATGAGTCCCGCACCCATTGGTTCGAGCCGCAGAAGACCGCATAGCCCGAGCCCACCATCGAGACGCAGAGATCACAGTCCGCCGCCGCGAAGAAGAGACTTTAGTCCTACTCCGGTGCTCCATAGACTCAGGCACAGTCCGAGTCCTACCACGATTAGACGACGAGAGTTTAGTCCAAGCCCCGTAGGCAGTCACAGGCGGAGAACGGACAGTGTCAGTTCTCCTAAGCGCAGAAGACGAGACGAGTCTGATCGACGCCACCGACATCACGACAAGGATAGACGGGACAAGCGGAAATCGAGATCGACTAGAAGCCCCACCGGAAGCAGGTATTCTTTCGTTTATCTATTTGTGATTTTATATATGTATGTATGTATGTATGTATATGTATATATATATATATATATCAAGACGTATAATATATATAAATAAGTAAATTTCTCATAATACCTTCAGGCGTGATAAATTTTTACCTATTTCAGATTACATTTGCCTCTGTCTCGGTCGCGGTCCCGCAGTCCGCAAGGAAGATGGCGAAAGCTGTCTCGTTCGAGATCGCGTTCGCGCAGGAGGAGTCGCACTCCGAAGAAATCACGCTCACCCAGCAAATCTCACAAATTGTTGAGAAAACATAAATCGAAAAGTCCGCGTCCCCGAATACCTTCTCCTTCCCCTCATAGATCGCGAGCTAGGAGTCCGTCGAGCATCACCGCTCGAAATCTCCGAGTGCAAGCAAAGATTAGTGAGACTAGTCTATTTGCGGAGCTCGTAAAAGATCGAAACATGAGAGAATTGGCGTACAAAAAGTTGCAGGCCGCGAAGGAAAAGGCCGTGAATCAGGACGAGGTGCAAATTATAGAAGGCACCGACGAGAGAGACGACAGCGGCGGCAACGTGTCCTCCGAGAATAAAACTTCCACTGACAATAAGGATAGATCTATAAATCACAAGGAGCAACAAGCGAGGGCTTCAGAGAGCACAGTCGACGTCGTCGATATTCCCGTTCCGACGACAAGCGATGACGGCGCTCTAGCGGGCAAAACACCGCCATTGCCACCTATAGGTCAATCGATCGCAGCTGCGTCTAATTCGACGTCTGCGGTGGCGAACCCGCTTGCTCCTCACACAATTATACATACTTCACCCAATTTATCATCATCATCATCATCGATGCCATCCAATAATTGTCCGATCACCATGTCGCACAGCCCGAATTTTCCGACTCCCGCCCCAGGTGTACAACCGCCACCACCGCCCCCGCCACCACTGCCGCAATCCGCCGAGATTGCGTCGACAGTCTTACCGCAAGTGTCTACGCCTGTCGTGCCCATGTCGGTGCCGCCAATTCCATCAGCGCCGATTCTACCCAACATGTCTGTTCCTCCGCCACCCATTCCGCCGATTCCTGTTCCGGCGCCCAATATCATGTCCAAATTCAATCCACATAACAATCTTGTACCACTGAAATCGGTGGATCCTCCCAAACCTCCCATAGTAACATTCACGACCAAAAGTCTGAAGAGATTACCATTGCCACCCGGCATCAATCAAAACGATTTGGAGAGCATAGATTCGCCGCCGAGTCGTTCTCCAACCCCTCCCAGCAAAACGCAATCCAAATTTTCGACGGCAACTACGCCGAAACCACCGCAGAAGAAGAGCATCAAGGATCTGCCGATGCCACCAGGTAAGTTTTTTTTTGTTTTTTACATTTTGTACATCTTAATTTCAACTTATCGTCGATTGCTTCTATAGTCGTACCTGGGTCGGAAGATTTGAGCGGCGAAGACGATCCGAATGCGACGCCGCCGCGTTTGAAAATCGAACGAGTGGCGCCAAAGCCCAAGCTGAAGAGACCGAAAATATTAAAGCGCAGAGGATCGCGAAACTGTCACGCTCCCATGTCAGCCTCTGGCGGTAAAGATTGGGGCGAACGATGCGTCGACGTGTTTGAGTTTATAGCGCAAATCGGAGAAGGTACTTACGGGCAAGTGTACAAGGCGCGAGACAAACGAGCCGGCGTGCTAGTAGCCTTGAAAAAGGTTCGCCTGGAAAACGAGAAGGAGGGCTTCCCCGTCACGGCGGTTAGAGAAATAAAGATTCTGCGGCAGCTGAACCACAAAAATATTGTTAATCTTAGGGAAATAGTCACCGATAAGCAAGATGCGCTGGACTTCCGGAAGGTATTTTTTTGCCTAAAGTTATGTGCAATCTCTGTAGTGGCATTCCATACTACAATATATTTTTGTCGCTATTTTACTTTTTAAAAAGTATTATAAATATAGAATAAATTGCGCGCACATATAGCAGCGAGTACATAGGATATTGTACACGCGCGTGTACATATACACAGTCAATTATATATGAGATATCATTAATTTGTGTTAATGTAACTATCGCAAACAATATTTTTAGTGTCTGACAAACGAGAGTACGGAATACCTCTACTAGCATATACTGCTAGTTTCCGAAACTAGTTATGTATGATTGTTCCTTATGTTTCAGGATAAAGGTTCCTTTTACTTAGTTTTTGAATATATGGACCATGATTTAATGGGCCTACTGGAATCCGGCATGGTGGATTTCAACGAGATGAATAACGCCAGTATCATGAAGCAGTTGCTGGATGGCTTGAATTATTGTCATAGTAAAAATTTTCTGCATCGAGATATTAAGTGCTCGAACATATTGATGAATAATAAGTGCGTGTGTGTTCTCTAACGAATTATTTGTTTCGCTGGTAATCGTTAGATATAATCGTACGATTTTGATTAGGGGCGAAGTTAAGTTGGCCGACTTTGGTTTGGCACGACTATACAATGCAGAGGACAGACAGAGGCCGTACACCAATAAAGTGATCACTCTATGGTACAGACCTCCCGAACTTTTGCTAGGGGAAGAACGTTACGGGCCCGCAATTGACGTGTGGAGTTGTGGATGTATCTTGGGAGAATTGTTTTCGAAGAAACCGTTATTTCAGGTAAATATTATACGCATCTCGTAATTATCCATTAAGCTGGACAAAAAAGAGATTAACGTTAATTTGTTATTAATATTAGTAATTTTTTACTGCAGGCCAATGTAGATTTGATGCAGCTAGAGATGATTTCAAGAGTTTGTGGAACGCCCACTCCTGCTGTCTGGCCTTCTGTGATAAAACTGCCGCATTGGCATACACTTAAGCCAAAAAAGCAGCATAGAAGACGTCTGAGAGAGGATTTTGCGTTTATGCCAGGGCCAGCCTTGGATCTTCTCGATAAGATGTTGGAATTAGATCCCGAGAAGCGAATAACGGCAGCTGATGCGCTCAAGAGCGCTTGGCTGAAGAATGTTCAGCCTGAACAGTATGTTATCCTTTGACTATATAAGTATGAACTGTTAATTCCTATATTCCCGCGACGTCAAATATTGCAGTTAATCAAGAATTCAAAAAAATTAAATATACAGTAAAATTCCACTATTCTAGATCACTCGTTTCTTTTTGTAAACTGGATTTCTCTCTTTGAGCTATTCTCCCAATGTATATTTACTATGTGACTATAGTGTATAGTGAGAAAGAAAGTAGAACAGAGCATGTAACAAACATTTTCATTCTGCATACATATGCCATTAGAACAGAATGGAAATTGATGAAAATTTCAGAATAGGAAGACAACTTGATAGTAATAATGAATAGAGGGATTTTACTGTATATTTTACTGTGCGTACATGGCTTGTAAGATTAAACTTGCTTTGCGCAGATCAAATATCAATTATAAAACCGAAAACTTTGGCCAATATGCCGCTTATCACCGAATAAAATAAAGTACAAGATATATTAGTGAACATTTTATCAAAAATTAAAATTAAAAGAAACTTGCAAAATTTGAATGTAAAGCATAATTGGACATTTGATCTCGTGCGGATTTATTTAATCAAACGAGCGTTATATACTTGAAAATATATTTTGCTCAGCTTTATATTATAAGATATGCAGTCTATTAACAGTCCATGCTTATATAGTCAAAAATATATTATCTTTTCGCATCAGCTTTCTGTTTTGAAAATTATTTCTCTATTAAAATTTTATTCGTAAAATACATCCCGCTTTCACGATATATTAGGATGCCAGCGCCGCAGCTTCCAACTTGGCAAGATTGTCATGAGCTCTGGAGTAAAAAGCGGAAACGCTTGTTAAGGGAGCAGCAAGAAAGTGCTGCGGCGAAGATGCCTCTCCTTCCCTTCCCGAATAAAGGAGGTCCCCACAAGGACGATCTATCAGATGTCGGAGGGTGAGTAAAACAGATAAAGAAAAATCTAATCCACGAGTTGCTGAGACACGTATATCCCAGCGCCGTTACCAGAAAACTAATTTGCTTACACACGTAGACGGCTGTGTACGACGAGTTGTGCTTGGCCTTTATTTTCTTTAGCGAAAAGTTGCATTGTCAGACGAATCTTTCTTGAAAAGCGTGGAGCGATATCGAAAGAAGGAGAGCAGTTATATATTTCTGTGTGTTCCTGTCGATCCTCATTCGCATGCCAATCTTCCTTCCTTTTAACCTAATGAATCAACAAGTTAATTTTAGTTTCGTTCACAGTCGTTCGAAACGACGATGGCAATAGCGCAGAACAATGGAAAATAGAGAAGCACGAAACGTCGTTCTCTATTCGTGCTGCTTCGCTCTGCAGAAAATGTTTATTGTTTATAAACGATTTGATTTTATAGACTGCCTGTGTGAGACATATTTAAATACGAAAAATTTCCCAGCGATGATAACTTATCATAAAGAAATATGTTATATTGTTTAACCCTTTGGCTACTTGCACGTAAAACTGCTTTCTTTTAAGATTTCAAACAAATGGAATAGGAATGTAATACGCAATTATGACTTTATATTATTTTCACATCAATTAGTAATAAAAGAACGATATGCAAAAGTCAATTGATTAATTATTTAAAATCTTGTTTGTTTCTATTGCAAAAAATTTTTAAATTTCAGCTATAAAATGTTAGCTTGCATTTGTAGTTAAAGGGTTAATTATTTGCCTCACTTCCCTGTTCCCATGTGTGGAACTATTTGAAATAATTACAATGAGAATGTTATAACTATATTATCGTAGCTTATCCATATAATTCCTCATATAATCACTACTAATATGGTACAAACATCTATTTACATGAGAGAAAAGTATATATCCTAGTAATCACTGTGATTCAGTCTACCATTCGATTCTAAGAATAATTGTAAAAATTAAGTTATCACAGTTTATGCAGCTATAATCTAATTAATATACATGTACATACCCATCAATATATTGTACGAGCAGAAAGATATATGTGTGTATATATATATATATTAGTATATGTATACATGAATGTATATCTGCATTCTGCGAAAAAAACGAAGAAAATATACGATGCACGCGCGAATACATAATATATCAAAATGAAACTATTCATATACAATTTGTGCGCACGTGCATATAGATGTAGATTCTCTTACAAAGAGATTTGTTTAACATCTCTATGTTAATATATATAAATATTTATAATGCATTTTATATTCAACCAAAAATGGTAGAAAGTATGGTTGAAACAAATAACCATTTGATTGTAAATAAATACGGAGATCACGTCTCAATGCGTGATTTCTCTCTCTTTCTCTCTTTCTTATTGTTACTTTTCATAAGAAACTATCCAATTTATACCTATAGGTAGAGGATAAAACGACAACCTGCGCAAATAAACGAGCTCCGAGCCGAGCTCTATAGTGTAAATATAGGCAATGTACAGGTACAAAGGAAATATGCTGTAGGAAGACCGAAGAGGACGAGAATACGAGGAGATGAAGACTAAATGTATGATGAATGAATGAGTCGCATGAAGATATTAATTTTAATTCCATTAATGTATAATTTTATTTATATTTGATCCAATTTATTCAAGCATTCATGGCATATTATATTTTAGTCATCCCTCTAATAACTGTATTACAGTTTAGTGATTCGTATTATAGATAATTACGCGATATGAGTTTCAATATATGAATGATGAATCATTGTGTACATTATTTACGCTATCTTTCTTCTTTTTTTCTTTTTTTTTTGCGTTATGTTAAGTGATACTATTTTTAGGATGAAATTTAGTCTTTGGATGTTCTCTAATGTAATAGCAATGTAAAAAATGTAATATACATAAGGCATCCAAAGACATTTGCCTAAATATCTCTATGGGCAATTATTCTATTGAATCTTTAATGCGATTAAAACATTTTATTATTTAATTCTTTAATTCTAATGCGCCCCTTAATTTTTGTGCTCGAAATAGGTAATAATATTTTTCCAAAGAAATAATCTAATGCAAGCAGTACATACTTGCAGGCAATTATCTTGGATGATGCTTATTTATCAGCGTTTACTGTCTGATCTATACATGTAAAATAATCACAAAATATATGTTATTATTTCTACTTGTTCCACAAATATTCTGACAGTTTTTATAATTTTCTCTGCCATTTATTATCTGTAGAAATAAACGCGAATATATTTCCATGTTTTTTTATATGCATATATAAGTATTGAATCATGTTTTTAAGAATAAATTAAATTCACAATACTAACAGTTTAAATATAGCATATAAAAAATATGAGATTAAGATCACACATCTCTATTTTACGATATTTAAACTGATAAATTAAACTTTTTAATAGAATTCAAGAAGAATTGAACATAGATTATATGTGTATATGTGTATTTACATGATATACTAATATATATGTATACATATATATATATATACATTTTTCTGCATAATGATAAAAACTTCTGATCTTTTTTGTAATATTAAAGCTATTTTTTAATAATATATGGTATATCGGAAAAGAACAATGATATAAATTATTGCAAAATCATTGCATAGTATATTTCACATACGAAAAAAAGTGTATGATGTTTTCTAATACCTCATACACTTAGTATGACAATAAAGTTAATAAATCAAACTATGTAAATCCTTTCCTGCCTCTCTTAAAAAAAAAAAAAAATATATTAAAAAAACAATTGTCAGAGATTTGAAGGAATTTATGTAGGAAATAATAAAATCTCTCAATTCTGATGTAATTTGCAATGCTTTCAATGCACCAATAAATCACAGTGTAAGAGATAATCTGCACATTGTATATTTATATCTCAGAGAGAAATACACTACACATATTAAAAATTAAAAAAAAGACTGATCTTATAAAAATTGGTCTTTTATGTTATAATGTATTCTTTACGAAGAAATCTACAATGTAAAAGATTACATTTGAAAATATATGAATATGAATTATATTCATAATAAAATAATGTTTGTATATATGATAGACACATATTTTTTTTTATAAATCATGTAAAATGCTTTGGAAAATATAATGTTTTAAAACGTAACATGTTTTTATATATAACTCTTATTAAATACTATGTAACAAACGCGTAAAATCTGATAATCGTTTGTAAAATACATACTTGTTCTATGATTAATTTTAGTATATTGTCAATGTGTAGTATAAAAAATTATACCTAGGAAAAAATAACTGAAATTTTAATAATCAAGCTGTAATGTTTAATATTTTGATAAGATTTCTCTAAAATTGTTTTTCTCTCTTTTAAATATTATATTTTAAAAACTTGTTTATATAATTGTTTGTCTATACAAATGTATGTAATGCATAGAGAAAAATTATATTTTTAGTTATATTGTTGATGGATACTGTTTCATTATTCAATATATATAAGATATAGTTAATCCAGTGATGTAGTTAATATTACGAGTATTCCACAAGATAATGCTTGTAATTATGTAGCAAAAATTTATATAAGAATGTAAAATAATGAGAATAATTTATAAGTATATAAATATACATATACATATAAATATATATATATATATATATATATATATATATATATATGTATGTATGTATAATACACATATACATAACATATACATAATGAAGCTAGTGTTATAATCCATATTGTGGAATATGTAGAAAATGACATAAAATTTTGGATCCAGGATTATTTATAGGCACAAGATAATTGACATAATGTCTAATAGGAGAAAATTATGTTTCAGGAGATAATATAATATTGTGGCTGAATAATAGATGGACAAATTTTGTAACACTTATAAGAATATATAATAGGTAATGAAAGTTCCAAATCTTAATACGTGTTCACGCCCAGAGTGTCCAATCTTATTATCATGTCTATCAAGTACATGAATCATATAACCACTCTCATGTGTGCTTAGCTAACCGAATATTAATCAAATTGCTTTATGATACTGTTTTATATAACATAAAATCTATTTGTAGCAATGCATTAAATGAAGAAATACTTGCGCTATGCGATTGTTGCTTTACGTAATAAATAATAACAAATAAAAATGTTACATGATTATATATTTCTATGCTAATATATTGTTATGTGCATGTATATCTGTAATTCTATTGCATTGGACTGGCTTTAAGATACGTTTGTACAGCTTATTAATTGCATGATCTTCATATTTCTTCATATTATTATTATTATTATTATTGTTATTATAATTATTATTATTATTATATTATTATAAAAATAATTTGACGATGTTTGATTACAGTCAATAATGCAATCGAATATTATACTCATAAAATTTCTGCAAAAATTTGTGTGCATATTTCACAATTTAAAGTTAAAAAAAAGTTAAAAAAGAATATTGTTATCAGAGTTTTCTTCATCAGTGAATCTTGTATTTCGTGTGAATTTTCTAAAAAAATTAACGTCATCACATTCATTGTATACAAATACATGTTGGGGAAAATAAGTTATTTTTTATATCTATTGAATTTTCACGTTTGGTCTGTGACTCTGTTACAGGTCCTCTAAGCGACTAAAAATGGAAGCAGGCTATAATTCACATCCGAGCAGGCTTGCGGAAGGTCATTACGGTGAAGATAATTTGTTTAATCAGAGCGGACCATACATAGTGTCTACACCGTCGTACTATTTTAACAATTCACCGCCCGTCAAATCGCAATCGAATCTGAAGGGAGATAATCAGCCATCGGAAATGTGTACCGAAAGTAATCTCGCCCGGAGGCTGATGATTCTTACAAATTCCTTGAATCAGGGAAAGCCAATTCGTGTCGACGATCTTCTGTCGCTTCGATCGGACCAGACTGAGGTATCTATATAAATAGATTTATTNNTTTTAAATATTTATTATATAAATATATATATTTGCAGAGTGATCCAAAGGTGGTGCAATTGTTGGGCGATCTGCGCGCTGAGCTTCGCCTTGCCGCGAATGCCCGACCGGGCGGGCAACTAGATCCGCATCTTCCCATACTGAACCCGCCTCTCTTAGGTTTGTGATACGAGATAGCCCTATATTTCTCGCGTTATTATTGCAGATCTCACATTTTTTTGCAGATACGAATGCGCCGCACGGGCCGGGTAACTTCGACGCGCACGCGGTGTACGCCGGCGACGATGCCGTCAGTTCCCATGGGAGGTGGTCGCAGCTGGCCACCGCCGGCGTTCGGAATGCTCTGTCGGCACTCATATCGTACTACGGTCTGGATAACGTCTACAATCCCGCCAGCTCTGCTGCCGCGATCAGCCGATTACCGCCAGGTAAACCACCTGTGTAGTCAAACCTGGCGCAGAATCTTTTTTTCTGCCCTCGACTTCCTCGCAGCAATCCGCGTTCAGCTCGTAATGATTTGTGCGAAGTCACCATGCGGTACAAGATCTGCGTATGTGCGTGCAAAATCGGAAGGGATGAGAAAGAGAGAGAAATCTATATAAATACATCGCTATTTTTTAAATTGTACTAGCGATAGGAAGAAAGGAGAAGGAGAAAGAAAGAGAGAGAAAAAGATGGTATCATTCATATCATCGATCTGTTTATAGCCTTCGTTATCATCACTTCGTTAATTATAAGTGCACGCTCAGTGTATAATTGTACGATACGCGACCAGATATTTAGAATGTACAAGTTCTCTCCCCAAATGACAATGATATTATAGCCGTTATAGTGCACACCTTGAATTACTAACGATATGATACGATTGTTTCTCGAAGTCATCATTCGATCGGTCATGGCGCTGAACGGTGTTCTTCTTTGACATTTCTTTCCCGCATCATATTATGAAAGATCTGTGATACACATATGTATATAAATATACATACATTATATCTATATATATATAAATATATATATATACTGCGATTGTAGAAACCTGAATTTCTTAAATGGAACTCGATCTTTCCCGACGCTTGTTCTCATTCTCCGATGAAAGAGAAAAGACTTTTGTTCGCGATACTCGACGCGCGAGATCTTAAGGATTTGCATTCTGTTGTTATTGTAATCTCACGAATAAAAGAGAAAGAGAGAATTTTATTTTCAAGAAAAGTTAAGCGAGATGCGCTGGCAGGAACGCTGGTTGATTATAAATTTGCGTAACAAAATGGTAACGCTAAGAAAAAAAAATGTGAATATTTATTTATTGCTTAAGATTTTTTATATAAGACGCTAGCGCTTATTTATTATAAACATATTTACGGTGTACAATGTACATACTTATATGCTAAGGATATACAATAAAGATATCGATAGAAAAATGTCTCAAGCTTTGTTAAATCGAAACATATATTTATAATATAGTATGCAAAGTATATATATATGTTTTTCTTTTAAAATGCGGTATTTAATAATTAAAGAAACTATTTTTTAAATGAAATTTTAATAAGATTATAGAGAGACAGACGTAGAGAGAGAGAGAGAGAGAGAGAGAAAGAGCTGTATAAATACTTATGATAGATACATCTTTGCTTTTCCATACAGTTTAGAAAGATCCTTTAAAATTCCCCATTGAGACTTTGGGACCCTTGGGATTTTTGGGACAGACGGTCCTGAATTTCTTTTTTCGTCTCATATCTCATGTATGCTACATGGTTAACTGTTATGGCGGATTGTATCGAGTGCATAGATGTGTGATGTATGTAAATAAATAAATGTTGAAGATCATATAGCTAAGTGAAACCGATAGTGAAAATACATAAAGAAGTGTACATTTTATTCGGATAATTTGTCGGAAAAATTTAATCGGCACAGCAAACATTAGCTGAAGAAACTAAGAAAAATACGTGCTGCTCCGAAACGATAAGCGTGGTCCGATAATGTCAGCATTTCTGCAATTCAACTGTCTCATACATGATGAAACTGCTAGAAAAGCGATAGAAAGCTATGTGGGAATTTTGCAGGAAGCATTTCAGCAGTATCAAAGTAAGTATAAACATATAATGCTCCAACTATTTTTGTTGCTTTATTATGAGATAAAAAGAGAGAAAGTGCAAGCTAAATATTTTAAAATTAGCAATTATATCATTTTTGCAGTATCTCGCGTAAATTCGTACACATTTTTCAATTTGCATTGAATTTGTGAACTTTTGTATGATAAATTGTTTCGATATATAAATATATATATATACTTTGGAAAACTTTTATACAGATATTTGCGCCCTCTCGAAATAATGAAAGAAACTAAGTATAAAATAGCGCGAAATTTTGTCACTCTCCGTAATCAATTGTTTGAACTGAGCTACAAAACAACTAGTTAGTTACTAAAACAATTATCCGCGCCCTCTGACAAAAATTATTGATAACTGTTTTAAACTTAGAAATTTCTTAGCGAAAGTTACTAAGAACTAAGCGCGCAAAAATTTAAATATTTGAATTGTACAGATTATGCAGAATTGATATAAATAATTTATTTAATAATTTTTCCACTTTTTTACAGATTTATGGGGAAATTACATAAAATTACAGGAGAAATATGAACAGTGCAATGTGTAGGTTTTTAATCTTATTTATATAATTTAAATCACGAATAAAAAATATTTACAACACAATTCACAGATAATTACCAATTATCCATTTTGTAGACACTCTTCATCCCTAGTGAAGATTGATAAACCTTGCACAGAAATAAAAGATGAACAAATATCTCAAAGACAGTTGAATAATAGCACTATCACACAAGAAGAAAGTATTTCTTTGTTGGAATTAGATACATTAAATGTAGATTCTGTTAATCTTAAATCCAATACGGGAGACGAATCTCCTCCACATCCGAGAGAATCTCCATGCAAAGATACCGACAGTGAAAGCGCCCCAAGGAGTCCAGTATTTTCCAGGACATGTCTAAAGACTGGTAGCATTTCTGTAAAGAAATTCGCACGTTCACCTAAATTAGTATTGGAATGTAATAATTTAATGTCAGACATGAAGACTCATCGCAGTTCTGAAAAAGTTTCTTCAGAATATAATCAGAAATTAGAATTTAGTACATCACAACATGTGGAAACCACATTTCTACCAAATGGAAAAAGATTGAAGCAATCTCGCCTAGTATTTCATCCAATCAAGTGTAACGAGAAAATAAGTGTACAGAAAGCCAGTAAGCCAGCCAGTATATTGCCGAAAGTAGAACAGGAATCCATAGAAGATATTTCTATAGTAAAAACATCTGTCGCTACGGAAAATAATGCCGCAGATATCAATGAAACTTTTGAGGATGTAATAGAGATCAGTCCTACGCAGAGAAATATTACATCTAAGGTTACGCGTCGTTTAAGACTCAAAAGAAAAACTTCTGCAAAGCAAACAATAAAAAGTTCTTCAAATAAATATAAATGCTATGATCCTGTTTCTAGTATTGCACCAAAAATAATGATAGATACTATAGATTTTGCATTATGTTCTTCACCTGAACATACTTCTATAGAAATGGAAGATGATAAGTCATTGGTTGGAAACATGACTAATACTGTAGTTAATGCACTAAAAGATAAAGTTAATGTAAGTAATCTTTTGCCAATAAAAATGTGTAGCGAGACCAATGTTCAAATTAAAAAGGAAGATCAATCGATAACAAATAAGGTACAAAATATTGCTGAAAAAAATAATGCCTTTATCTATGAAGATGAAAGCTTTTACCTGCCTGCCAAGCTACCTATAAACAAAAATGATACAGATGATTTCAATTTGGATGATACAGAGAACAAGCCACCTGTAAAAAAAGCATCATTGACTAAGTTTGACGTGTAAATATTATTTAATATTTGGTAAAATGTAAATTTCTCTTACATATATCTAATAAAAATATTACTTGCAGGCTGCTACAGAGAAAGGAAAATGTTTCAGAGCAAATTAACATGCGATGCAAAGCTGACAGAGCAAAGCTGAATGGTTGGGATTGTTGGGAATGTGAAGAAGTAATATTAATATAATTACATAAAATATGTATACAAAAAGCAAATACTTTTCTTCATAAAGAAGTATTAAGTTTATAATTTTGTATGTGATTTTAGTATTACAAGAATCTGTTGCTGTCGAAGGATGAATTGCAGAAGCGGAAGAATCAATGCTCGCGGCATCGGCACAAGTACGAGAGACCGAGTACACCAGAAGGTATATTTAATTTGTTTCTCATCGCTTCTGTGTGTGTGTGTGTGTGATATTATATAAAATAATCTTTTTTTTCTGAAAAGGATTTTGGGATCCAGAATTTCCTGAGACACTGTCAAGCACATATCGCCAAAATAAAACTTGAGGTATATTACAATTCAATCAAATAATTAAGTTCTTGAGAAAGAATGGAGATGAAAGAAAAAATCCAGAATATAGGGGATACTTCAGTTGATTCCAAAATAAAAGGGTTTGACTTTATTTCACATTGTGTTATCGTTAATAATAAATATTAATTATTATACATAGGTACACATATATGCATGCATTTTATTATATTCCCTTTCTTAGTAAAATTTTGTAAATCTAAATAATATCGTAAAACGTGATTGCAATTAAATATAATATACGCATTAAGAGATTTCAACGGGAGAAGTGTAAACGCGGTCATGGCTTGAACATAGATCGATTTATTATTTTACAACATGTATATAGTATTATATTTTGGGGATAACATAGTATAGATTTATACATATAACTATATCATTTCATTTTTTTAATATATAGATTCATCCCTTTACATAAAAATATAGAATCTGTTTTGTGAGTCGGTACTAAAGAAGGCTAATCAAACTCAGTTGCAGTGATCAAGCGAAGTTTGACACAGTTTCAAGGTACATCAGTGCTTCTGCCCCTTCTGAAATTCTCTCGAAAATAATATTCGCAATACTGTTAATTAATTACATAGGCTCGCGAAACTTTAATTCTTAATCAATATCAACTCCGATCAATTTCTCGCAACGTCGTTCAAAGATACATTTAAAACAAGATAGACTGTCCTCTTACTTTCTCAAAAATTAATTCTTTTCGGCGAGTAGATGCGTCATTAAATGGATATGTATAGAATACATTTGCGGGGAAAAAATAAAACGATCGAATCACAATAAAAGTCTCGCAATATAATGCGAGTTTCGAATAGCTAAACACAGTATTAAACCCTGATATAATACGCCTGAATATCCCAAGCGTGAATTATATATTTACGTTGTATAATCTGCACCATTTCATTAAGCTATATATAATTCTCCAGCAAAACAATCGCGCACACACGACACTTTAACTTTAAGACATCAAGCCGATTTTCTTACAACAATTTCGAAAAGTAAAATGTTGCTTAAATTGCACAATTATATCGGCGCTTCTTGCGCGGATTGATGTAATAATTTGTGGCTGTTCGATCGATCATCCACGCGTACTTTAAACATAATAACTCTCCGACGCGACGTAACAAAAACTCGATATACATTTGACACTTCGAATAATCCAAAAAATTCGTCTCTATAAAAAATAAATATGTAGAATATATTAATTTTTTTTTAAAAGACGATGATAAAACTGTGCTGTTTCGATCTGCTGCACTAAAATAGATTTGTGCTCACGTATGTATATTTTGGTATTACGCAATTGACTTAGCTGTGATTGATTATTATTTACTGATTATCTCTCCGAATCGAAAGATTTATCCAAAGTTTTAAAGCTATTTTAAAGCACGTTAGTCGAAGGGCACATTAATGCAATTCAATTGAGGTATACATGTAAATTATATATGTACACGCAAGAACAGATTATTATGCAAATGTATGTTTCGCGATACAAATAAAATTAATTAACCACGATTAAAGACTGAGCCGATATGATACATTTTTTAAATTATTAAAATTCGATATAATTTCTCGGTTTTATAGATATTCCATAAAAGACCCTTTTGTTTACCTTTGACATCTTTTGAAAGATAATACCATACATTTTGTCGACGGACAATGAAAATCCTGATCTGTATTTATATCACATATTTAATGTTAAACGCAGCTAGTTTGATCATGTTAAATTCACAATTATTAATACTGCATGCAATCCTTGTATCAAACGATTAAAGCTCTGCAATCTCAAACGGCCGCATTTAACGCTAAACAAAGTGCTAGATAGACTCTACTAGTATAAAATGTTCCGTTGTATCACCGATCGATCGCACAGTAATAGAGCTCAGTCGTTGATATATTGTATATTGCCTCTGATGACAAATCGTGTCCCGATCTGTATCGGTCTGTTGCGTCTGTCTGTTCTCTACAGGTACTTGATCCTTGAAATAGGCCGCGTCTGAATGAGCAGAAAGGGATGTATGCGATGATAATAAAACGGTATCATCTTATAGAGTAGCGATAAGAAAAAAATAATGCATCATACTTTAGATTGCCTTAATATAAATACATTTCTTCAAGTCTCTCGCTCTTACTTTTCTCTCCTCTTATACATTGCACTTAACTTAAAACTGCAAACTTTGGTTATACGTTTATATATTTCTCGTGCTCTAGGAGTTCAAGTCGATTATCATTTTTCTCTCGCGCTTCGGAGAATAAGTACAGTAGTCGAAATATGAAAGAAGCTCGCGACGTTTTGGTGCACTCTAAAACTAATAACACGCGAAAGGGTGCATTAATCGGGAAGTACCGAGCGTGTAGAAAATTCTAACTGAGAAAAAAACCGATCAATTCGCTCTTTACTCCTCGATAGGGTACATCGTAGTAAACAGCTAGTAAAAGTATAGGTTTCCCGTGACACATCGAAATAAATGGAATAGATACCTCTTACCTCTTGCATCTCGACTGCGATTTTAACCCTGAATAGTACAAAATGTTATCATTGTTTAATATATCTGGACTTATATCGATGTCAAATCGTGAAAAAGTATCAGTTTCAAAAATTATTTTAAAAAATGAAACCTTTTCAATTTTATTTATAAAAATGTAAGGAATCGACAAAATTCTTGTCAAGTCCATTAGAATAAAAACGTCCAGATCTCTTTATACTGTTTAGGGTTGAAATCGCGCATCACCAGCGTTAGTTTCACTGTTCCGATTTTGCAGGTGGCGAGGAACCGCTCGCCGTGGCGGATTTCTCGGTAGACGGTACCGGCAAAGCCTTGAGGATTGCGTGCACCTCCTCTGCCACTGCCATCAGGACGAACTCGAATTGTTGTTTTGTAGCAACCATATCGGGCCTTTGATCCCTAATATGCTCGAGAGTAGCGGCAATGTCGATCTCCTTCGCTCCCTTCGTCATGCGATTTAGGACCATGTCAATCAAACAGTAAGTACCGGTTCGTCCAGCTCCATCGCTGTAGAAGAATCACATAATATAAAGATCGCTATCGATTAATTTTGAACAATATAAATTATACACACACTCACCTGCAATGCACGACTATCGGACATGATCTTCCACGATACGATTTATTAACTTTCCTACAATAAGAAAAAAACCGAAATATGATTTTAAAAGAAAAATTATCCTTGTACATATTCTTCTTGGATTCACAATATTATAAATATTTTTAATAAATAGTAATTACAAGAAATTCTTAATAATGTAGACTATGCATAATAATTTCCAAAATAAATTGCATAATAACAAGATAAAATTTTTCTAATAATAGACAATGAAATCGACGCTAACCTGCGGAACTCGAGCAGAGCTTTGGTGGAATACGGTACGCTATTTTCCGGCCAGGACAGAAAGTGGAATTGTGTAACGGTACGGGTCTCGCAGGTGCGCAAATTCTTGAGATAGAAGGAGCGCACCAGGTAATCATCACACCAGAAATGTTCCGACACCAGATGCACCTCGTAGATGTGATAGAGCTCCGATCCTTCCTCGGGCCAGTAACGGTGACACATGGCACGGCCCTCCTCGGTGAGTCGCGTCAGCATCACGATCACCACGCTGCCTTGTTCCCAAACCAATTGCCAGAAATCAGCCGTGGTCTGCGGTAGCGGCCCTTGCGTGGCTATGTAAGCCGGATTCCGGGGATCGTGATCCGTCTGCAAAAAAAAAAAAAAAAAAAAACAAAGGAGTAATTTGCAGAAAGAGAGACAGATAATATTTTTCTACAATTTTTAGTAAATATAACTTTTAAACGAATAAATGGATCTAAATCAAGTTTTGCACAAATATTTATTAGTTTTCTTACTATATGTGAAAATTTTTATTTCGTTGGCAATGTTTTTTCCGAATCACGATATTATGGCCTCGATGAGAATAGTATCCGATAAACACTTCGCATCGTAAACGATATTAGATTAATCGAAAAATTCGTTACTTTTTTTTTATATGTGATTCTTGTGTCGAGAAAACGAAAAATTCGATCAATCTAGTTAATCCATTTCATACTTGATGTCTCAGAAGCCGTAATCTTATTTTTCTTCGATTTCAAACAGGGTTACTTATGCAACACCTCGTATGTTTTCACAGCAGAAGAATCGTGCGTATCGAACGATACGATTCCAATTGAGTTTTCATTTTATCATCACTTTCCACTTTTTTTTGTTCAGGTTTTCCATTTACGATACGGGGATATATCGGGTGAACAATAATACGGCCATACATCGCCAACTGTGCAATTGAAAAATATAGGCTTGCTCATCAATAAAAACATGCTAAAGTTCGTTCGCTGTGTTACGATTACGTGATGCACTAAAAAAAAAGATATCTACCGCAAGCATTAGCCTGACAAATTGCGCCGTGAATTGCGATTTTGCGATAAACGATCAATTCAACATGCCCATTTCGACTGTGACTTACCGACTTCTACATTTATATTGCAATGCGGCGGCCAGAAAATCGAATGTCGTACGTATTTTAGCAATGTGTGTTATCGCGTGAAAACGAAAATATTTATTTTATTCTTATACAAGTTTTACTTCGCAATTTTCGCATATTGGAGTAATCAGAATAGTTTCTTTTTTTGTATGTCAAACATATTGAATTTCTCATGTAATGAAATAATATGATATCCTCCTGAATCCTGGTTTGTAAAATATTATACACTTGTTTTTCTTTTTTATAATATTAATCTCTCCATTTGTTATACGCATGCCCTAAGAATCAAAAAGAACGACGACATTTATTCCTATATCATTTTCTGGAGTTCTGCGAATTATTTGAAACACAGTTACGATACATTTAATTTCGAGCAAGTTTCAGGAGGATACAATGAAGAAATGGCCGAACAAAAAAATGATATCGTAGGAGTTACTTACGATCGTGGAAGCGTTTATGTAGTCGGAATTATTAGCGTTCGCAAGATCGTTCAGAACTACCCGAGAATGATCGTAGGGAAGTGCCGCGCCGGAACGATTCTGTTGGATATTCGCTTCGTTCTCTGCAATCTCCGTGGATGACGGGTCGGCTTCATAGGCACACAACGCCGCCCATTCCTGATCCAGGCGATCCTTGTTCTTCAAATGATCCTCCATATAACTCTGCAAGTACAATTTCGAATTTCTATATGTATCTACTCTTTCTCTCTTTCTCGCCTTTTCTCTGACTCTTAATTAATTTTTATACTTACGAGAACCATGTGACCAGTAGATATGTCCATGTTGGAGAGGGTAGGCTCCTCACCCCAAGAGGACGTGCTGGAGCGATTGGAAGGCAGATTATTAGACTCGCTCTCGCGCGACAGGCTCGTGATACGCGGCGATTCCACCTTCTCGCTCGGCTGCTTCGCCTGCATCCTCGCCCTGCACAGGTCTTGGTAGTCCTTGGACGCCTCCGGGTCCGGGGTA